ATCTGTTTTGTATTGGATTTATTAATCGAAATATAGTTATTATATATCCGTCTTCTGTTATGATATCATGGCTTTCAGGTATAAAACCTCGAGATCTGATGAGTTCACTCTTTAACAAGTTATAAATTAATTAATTGCAATTATATTATAGTAATAGTCTTATACCGAATTTCTGTCAATATCGGGATCTGAGCTAAAATATTCAAAGCAATTAATGCTTAAAATAAAATTCAAAGGTAAAATAATATTTTCAAAAACTTTCATTTTAGATATTTTTATAAAAACACAATTTAATTTATTTTCAATTTATTGTTAATATTATTTCCACAATTTGTTGTCATTATAAATCATATTTTGAGATTCATTTGCCATTAGCCCTTATATGTGTTCATAAAATATTTTATTATTATTTAAAATTATTTCCTAAAAATTATAAATATTTATATTGATTTAATTTAATAATTAACACATGTCTTAATTTTACACAAATAAATTACATTAATTTGAAATATTTTAAAATAAATCTAATGATTTCAATATGTAAAGAATGGGTGCGTTTACATAACGCCCGACACTATTGGCATAGAGAAAGTCTCCGTGAGTCCAGCCATTGAATGGCACCACATAATCAGCGTATGGATGCACTAAATCAATCAATTAGTATATTTAATCATATTATAAAGCATGGTACAATTAACTATTAACCTGTCAGTTGACTGCGAAGTATATCATCATCTGTTGAATCAGATAAAAAGTCATTCAAACCCGACATCAATACAATATAACTAGAATTAATGTTTGATATATTATAAATCGGTGGCATTTTCTGATTATAAGTCCGCATATTATTCTCATTGCCGTAATCATAGAAACTAAATGTATTGAAATGAATCCGTTGTCCCACATGTGCCAACACTATCGACGACAGGGAATCAGGAAAGTGAGCGCCAAGTCTTGGAATAAAAGCCTAAATCACATCAATAAGTGGCAAAAGATATAATTATATCATTTACTTTATCGAGATTTTCCAAATCAAATCCCCCGATAAGAAAGTATATGAGAATACAGACGCTCTTCAGTATAGAATTACCGCAAAAATATCGGCCAAAAGCCGGTTGTTTTCGACCGAAGCCTCCGATTCGGACTGCTTTTGATCTGATTGTCAAAAATATTTAGTTTTATAAGTTTTGTGAACAAACGTAAGATAATAAACCTAAACAACGGCTCAAACACATCCGTCAGTCTTATTAGAGGAGATCTTATATTTTCTAAATATACAAAACTGGCCAAAGATATGAACGGTTTTATAATCAGTGAGTATTGTGGTTGTGATGCCAGCAATTGAAACATTATTGTGTTACCCAACGAGAAACCAATATAACCAAGAGTTTCTTTTGCAAATATGTAAATTTAAAATAAATAGCAATTAATTTAATATAATGATCGTTTGCCGAATAAAATGTACTACTGTTGTTTTTACACATTTACTATTAAAACCACAATAACAAGAGATGACTATATTCATTATGAATTCACTTAAATACTTGATTTTGTTGTATCCAAAATATATTTGATATTAGCGGTCAGATCATAGCTACTGTATTGATCCAAATTAAACGACCAATATCTATTATCTGATAAATATGAAATAAATTATGATCATAAATTTATGGATTAGTTTATATTTATGAAACCTGTATATTGATCCAATAATATATGCGATGAATATTTACTTCCTCTTAGGTTTTCTATCCAAACATCATAACCACAGGCAGACAATACAAACGGCAATGTATTGGCCACAGAACCGCGTGATTGGCAATCGTTGATGAGTCCGTTATTTTCAATATAAGTGCCATTTGTGTAGAGAAGACCAGGTCTTGTAATAAACCATTGCTCGGTATTACCGGCCAAACCGTTTTGCAACAGAATTGGATACAAACT